ACAGTATCTATGAGTAAGGCCATGATTATCCCCGTTTTACAGATGAGGAAACTGAGGCACAGCTAGGACCAGATAGGATCCGAATATAGGCCTCTCTGACTCCAGAACCGTGTTGTTCCTGTAGGGTGTCCAGGCGTGCATGGATGGGCTGGGCATCAGGGCATGGGGGCCTTCTGAGTGCATTTGCACATGTCCAAGAAATTAAAGATAGGTTAGCAGGCAGATGGTAGTCATCATTCTGTGTTTGCCATTTCAAATTCATGCACAGGCTCCTTCCTCTGAGGGATATTCTGAGTCCGGCCCAGGCCTTTTGCTGTTGTGGGGTCTCTCTACCTTGGGGGAGCAGAGAGTTGGTGGGATGGGGTATTTGGCAGTGAGAACCCAGTAAAGAGTAAACAGTTCCACCAAGAGGCAATTTCTTGCTGATAGACTGCTCTGCTTATCTGACTTAGACAGGGTCCTCGGAGAGGACATTGCAGAGGAGGTGACATGTCAGCTGGTGCAGGATGAAGAGAGGTGGCTGCTGAGGAAGGTGTGTAGTCCCCTCTGGCTCTGAGTGCCTTCCCCAGAGTTGCAAAGGAGGAAGGAGAAGAGGAGGCTGTGGCCCCTGCCTGTAAGGACCTGAAAGGACGAGGCCAGGTCCTGGGACATTTGAGTGGGTGCTGGGCTGGGCTTTACCTGCTTCTTGGTTTCTTGGCTGCTGCAACATAGCAGTGTCTATCGCTGGGCCCAGCTGGGCCAGCATCTCTGTCCTGCCATGTGGGAGGTGCTTACCTCTTTTAGGGACCTGGAGTGGACAGTCCTCTCTTTTATTCTGTCCCCTCCCATCCCATCCCCCAGGCCTCAGGAGCTCCACTGGCTCAACTTGGAAACTTGGATGTGCTTGTTGGGGGTGTGTGCCCTTGCTGAGGGACTCAAATCGGGGCCCTGCCCTCTGGGCCTCTTTCTGCCTCCACCCAAACTGCCCTCTGGCCCCGGGCCTGGCCTGTAAGTCTGCATCATCTTCACTGTGACATCTCTGAAGAACCGGGTGAGTATGTGCCCCCTCACGAGCCTGCTTTCTCAGGCTGCCCTTCGTGGGGCACCTGTGCTGGTTGAGGGGCTCTGAGCTCCAGCCCTTCTCCCTCCTTGGCCACTGAACCGAGCCTCTGTATTCTCTGCCCTCCACCCGCTCCTGGCTTCCTGGAACCCAGGGACCCTGGAGGTTTCTGGACCATATCGAGTTGCCTGGGTGTTGTTTCTTTTTTTGGGGGGGGCATGCTGGGTGGAGGAGCTGGGAGCTGGGAGACAGGCTGATGACTGGGTCAGGGCCAGCCAGGGGTGGAGGCTGACCACCAGCCCATGTCTCCCTGGATCAAACTGTGATCCCCAGTCCCTTCCTCTGGGGGTCTGGGGCCTGGCTTCCCCATCAGCTGGGGAGCAGCCCTCTTTGGCATTTCCTGTCTGCCTCCCTTTCATTTTGCACCCAGGCTCCCCAGGGGTTCCTCTGGGGGGGACAAGAGCCTACTCTAACCTTTCTCCCTGGTGACAGGACCTGACTTGGCCTGGCATGGCTGTGGTCCCACTGAGCCTGGGGTTTGGCTGGACCTCGTCTCCCTACATTTCTCTGCACCCACCTTCTGGCTGGGCAGCGGGGTCCCAGCTGGGCCCCCCTCCAGGTCTGAGCCAGAGAGCCACGGTCTGAGATGCTCCTCAGAGACACCTGGGCTGGGGCCAGTCATGCCTCCGGAAGAGGCTGAAGGGTTGGGGATGAGGAGAGGCAAGCACTGGCCTTCTGGGGCAGGAGCCAGGACCAAGGCCTCTCTGAACTTAATTCTGAGGCGGTTTTGAGGACCCCAAGCCACAGCACCTCGCTGCTCTCCCCGCCCCCCAGGCCCACCCCACACATGGGTTTGCCTTTCCAGGCATTCTCCCCTGGTCCCCTCCCACTGGATGCCTTCTTGAGCTCTTTGGGCCCCTCCCCCAGCCGTCCTGGGCCCCCTCCTTCCTCCTTTAGTCCCCTGTTGCTCAGGGAGGGGGGCGCACAGCCTTCGGCTCTGATCCTGGCTGCCTCCCCCAGCATCCCTTGGGGCGGGCTCTGGATGGAGCCAGCAGGCTGAGGCGGCCTGGCCCCAGGGACTGGCACACTGCATGCTCCTAGTGGCAGCCTCCCTGTCCCCTCCACAGACAGACAGTTCTGGACAGCTGCCCCTGCCCAGGCCCTGCGGAGGCCCTGCCAGGCCCTGGCTCCAGTTTCCACCAGCCCTAGGGAGCAGTGGCTTCAGAGGTTCCTCCTACCTTCTTGCCAAGCACCATTCCCAGAGGGGAGGGGGGGCAGGGCCAGGTCCTGGCCTCCACCCATCCTTCCCCTAAATCTCTGCTGGACAGCCCGAAGCTCCAGTCAAGTCCTGTGTCTGCTGTTAATCTGTGTGATTGGGGAGCTCCACCAGCCCTCTCTGGGCCTCATCTGTGCATTTAGGGAATGGCGCAGATCACTGATGTTTACCAAGCCTCACTGTGTTCCAGGGACTCGGCTAACTGCTGTACATTGATGACCTCATGGTCCCATGGAAATGCCATGAGCACACTTTCCTATTCAGAATGTGAGGCAACTGAGGCACAGGAAGAGGAAGGAACATGCTTTTGAGGTCACGCATACATGGGGTCCCGGGCAGCCTGATGGGTGACTTGTCTTCACTCTGCCATTCTCTAATTTATCCTGGCACTAGGGCTATTAACTCTTCAGGGACTAGGACAGGGCCCTCTGAGGACTTGAGATGGGGGCTTCTCCTTGGGGGGTCATTCATTCCCTATTGATCAGGTGCCCTGCCATCCTGACACATGACAGACTGTGGGAAGGTGAGTCCCCAGACATCCCAGCTGAGGACACCCCGTCCTCCTTCCTGAGTCCTAGTCATGGGGTTCAGGGACCTGACTCCAGCCTGACCGTGCCCTGGAATGAACACCACCCCCAGCACAGGGGGCGTCCCCCTCCCAGCATGCCAGCTGCAGGGCCAGGAGCTGACAGGAGTTGCCTGTTAGGACCCCAGCAACCCTCCCTCCCATTTCCCAGCCAATGAGTAATGCAAAAAATAGGGTGGGCGGGCCCTAAGGGGCTGTTTGAATTTGGGAATCTGCACTGTCCTCATCTCCACATTTGCCTTGACATGTGTCCTGCCTCTGGGAACCTTTTCATGTATCCTCATTGTCTTGCTAAATAAAAGAGGGGGTGGGAGGTGGGAGGGGGCTCTGGGAGAAAAGTCAGGAGATTTTTTCTTATTTGCCTAATTTCCTCACTCAAATGTGTCTTGTGATTAAATATTGCTTCATTCTATCCTGTGTGCTTAGGTCAGAGGCCAGGTTTCTTTTCTGAACAGGGAATTGAGAGTATCTGGTCTTTCCATCTTGAGATTTCTCACTCCATCCCTCTCTTTCTCTTTTTTATCTCCCACTCCTGGAAAAGCCATGGTCTTTCCTTCTGGAACCTATCTCTTCCTGAGAGAGCACATGGGTGGTGCCAAGTGTCAGTTAAAGGCAGTGACTCTTACAGTGCTCGCTCAGTGGAAAAGACTTCAATAACTTGGTCATGCTGCCCTCCTTGGCCCAGGGTAAAGCACTGAGCAGAGTGGGCCGTGGATTATATAACAACAAGTCCTGTGTTCTTGGTCCTGGTCCTTCTGGCCTTGCCTGAGCCTGCACTCCATCACTGTGATCTCTCATGGCCCTTTACATGCCTGCCCTTGGGGATGATTAAAATACTGCCTTTCCTGAGCCTCCTAGCCATGGCCTCCTCTCCTTGTCTTCCTTTCCCAGGTTCATCTTGCAGTCATTCTTGTTCAGAAACCTCTGTGGCTCCAGTTACAGCTGGGTTGGGGATGATCAGGGTGAGTCTACTCTTCTAAAAGCAGAAAGAGAAGATATCAGGATGTTACTGTCTATGGAGGAAGAAAAATTTTAAATTGTCTTCTATAACACAGATAAAATTTACAGAGCTTACTGTGTGCCAGACACGGGGCTTGATGCTTTGTCCACCCCTATCTCTCAGTCTTCCTGAAAATTCCATGAGGTGGGTCCTATTCTTCCCATTTATTAATAAGGAATCAGGTAAAGAAGTTAACCTTGCTAAGCACATGTGGTCTGGGTGTGTACCACGGCCTTATCATTTTTCTTGCCCCTTTGTCTCTCTATGAGTTTATTGGCACCAAAACAAGCATGCTAAATGCAGAGTAGGTTTCCTGCGAAATTCCCCCAGAAGCCAATTGGGCCACACATTGCAAACTAATGTCTCTCAGTCCCAAAGTGCAGCCCCATGGCTCCTGGGCATACCTTGGTTTTACAAGGCTTCCAGTTATGTGGGGGTCTCCCACTCATCCCCACAGCCTGTTCTTTGATCCCCAATACCACTATAGGATCCCAAACTGCATAAGTCCCACTTTGCAGATGTGGAATGAGCAGGGGGGTTGCTGGAACAATTAGCCAAGGCAGTGGGGTGTGTATGTGGCTGGACTGGAAAACCGACCCATGTTCTCACAGTTTCTGAAAGCCTGCAAGCATCACTCACAGGCTACACAACACTGGAAAGTCACATTATTTTTTCAGCAAAAATAGCCATTGAAGATCTAAATCCTGAGCTTATAATGGAACAGTGAGAACTCCATCTTTTGTTTTTCTGCCCACATCTTTCCCAGGAGGTGACTTGAGGACAGAGTCCCACTTTTAATAAACACAGAATGATGCAAGTTGGAATTGCAATGCCTATGAATATATAATTAGAGGAACCACCCTCATTCTTGTATTTTAGTCAGTATTTAGATTCAATATATCTCAGAGCATTTGAGAGCCTTACAGTGACTATTAGAATCAACTAGGACAATGTAACAGAATTAGTTCATTGGGACTTACATGCAAGACAAATTTATAAATGTCTCAACCCTATCATACCACTTGATTTTGATTATATTATCATTTCAATCCCTGGGTACCTTGCAAAAACTTTGGTCTTAAACAGATGTAATTCAACTATGGCCACTATTGGTGGTTATGGAACAATGCAACAAACCACAATGAGAAGTGACTTTTGGACATATGTGAAGTCCAGCCTTTGGCCAATGGAATGGATGATTCACAGTGCCAAGCTTAGGCACCCCTTCCCCAGGATGTACAATGTGAATCAAGTGGGTGAATGGTGAGAATGGCCTTAGGCCTGAGCCTAAGCAACTCCATTTTAAAAACACCAGTTTGAAACCTGCAGTCTCACCAGTCACACCCACAGATGACCTCAGACAATTACTTCCCCTTACTCTGATAAACAGAGTGAAGCCTCTGGCAGGCTGTACTCTCCTGATAAGAGGATAAAGTGAGAAAATAAGGGTGGAGACCACCAGACCAGATGTTTCTGACCCAAGGGTAAATGATATCCTGGAGAAATCTGGAGGTAGCTGATAAGGATTGCAAGGGGGTTCATAAAGCCCCAAAATTTAGTGTAAAAATAGAGCTAATGAAAAGGGATTCAGCCAACTGAAACAAGGATGCACTCGAGGTGGAGAGCCTGATGAGGAACTGGACTGACATCTCATTACTTGTTATCATTCTCCTGACCCTCTGTGAGATCCTCATCTCTCTCAAACTCTATAACCTCATCTGGACCTTGGTGAGAGCCTCAACTTCTTCCTATGACCCTCTCCTCAACAGGGCATCCATTCCATGCCAGGAAATCCTGCCTTGGTTCTGGACCTGGTTACTGTGAATCTTCTTCACATGATATCTCAGAATCAAATAAATTAAGGTGGACTTGTTCTCATAAAGGAGACAGTGTTCTAAAAGCAAAAGCAAAATCATTAAAAAAATATTTCCTGACTAGGCACCTGACAAGTACTCTTTCATAGCCACACATTTATATAAGCCATAAAAAATAAGAAGAGCCCTGACCCAAAGTTTGGAAAATACATTCGACATTTGACTAGCATAGGAGTAAAATTGCATTACCAAATTTCTGTGCACAGATAAGGCTAAAGGACTACTGATATTATGGCACTAATTCTGCCTTTTGTAATAGATGAGGTTTATACAGCTGTTCAGTATCAAAAAAGATTTTCAAAGTCCCACAAGTACTCTGTGTGTGTGTGTGTGTGTGTGTGTGTTTATTTGAGTGTAGTACTGGTGGTTAAACTGAGGGAATATTATTCCTGAGCTATATCTTCATTTTTTTCTTTTCTTTTTTTTAATTTGAGACAGGATCTTACAAATATGATTTCTTGTTTGCCCACAATTTTTAAGTACATAGCAAGATCAAATATGCCTGACCCAAAGGCAAATCTTATCTCCTTTAGGAGCCATGATTCATCATTATTTTTAAATTCTCTTAAAGGTTAACTAGTGACTTTTTTTCAAAAAGGGGGGTTTATACACATATGGTGCCTCATGTCAGCAATCTTAATAATTTGGGAGACTTAATCAGGAGAATCACAATTTATATTTCAGCCTAAATAATATGAGAGGGCCCTAAGCAACTAAGCAAAAATTTGTCTGAAAACTAAAAATAAAATAAAATACAATTTAAAAGTGCTGGTGACACAGGGGTTTAGGAGAACTATCCTGGGTTAAGTACTCATTCCTCTCCCCTTAAAAAGAAAAGAAAAGAATAAGAAAAAAAAATTACATCTGGTGAACTTTTTATTCAATGGGGATAATATGTTTGAGAAAAACTTCTGAAGCTTATAACAAGGATTTAAAATAAACTTGGGAAATGGCTGAGAACTGAATTGAAAAATCAAGGACAAGCAATATTTTTAAAATTTCTTATCAGGAGAAACTTAAAAACAGATATATTTCATTACAGTCATGATAAAAATGCAGCATGGTATGGAAACTGCAACAAAAACACTGTATTTGTATCACAAAAGTTTTATAAATGGAGAATATGAAACATGAAACACTACGTAAAAAAGTGATGGAGAGACAACATTAAGGCAATATATGTAATCTAAAATAAATAATACACTAAATATCCACTATATAAATATTATCTGGGAGCATGTCTACAAAACAACATAATACTCCTTGCATAAAGCAGAGGATTTGTGATAGTCTCAAATTAAAAATAGTTTCACATCTGTGGCTGCTGTGTAGGGGCTCATATCAAAAAAGCAATGTTTGGGGCTCAAGCAGTTGAAAGAAGATGTGAGGAACTTTTTTTTTTACCATGTGATTTCTTCTTATTATTTTTTTTAGTCATACATGACAGCAGAGTGTATTTTGACATATAATACATACATGGAATATACATACATCAATTATATTTTCTATTCTATTCTGCTGCCCTTCCCATCCTCCCTACTCCTCCGCTCCTCTCCCATCCTTTCTTTCTATCCAATCTAATGTGACACACTTTTTTTTCTTTTACTCATTACAACATCATATATGTATTCTGTATAACAATGAGGTCCTCCTTCCATCTTCCATGCAACTCCCCTTCTCCCTCTTTTCCCTCCCACCTCTCTTTCCTATTTAGTGATAGTCTTCTTCTCATGCTCTTCCTCCCTATCCCATTTTGAGTCACCCCCCTAATATCAGAGAAGACATTCAGCATTTGTTTTTTAGGGATTGGCTAACTTCACTTAGCATAATCTGCTCTAATGCCATCCATTTGCCTGCAAATTCCATGATCTTGTTATTTTTTAGTGCTGAGTAATATTCCATTGTGTATAAATGCCACATTTTTAATCCATTCATCTATTGAAAGGCATCTAGGTTGGTTCCACATTCTAGCTATTGTGAATTGTGCTGCTATAAACATTGATGTGGCTGTGTCCCTGTAGTATGCTCTTTTTAGGTCTTTGGGGTATAGTCCGAGAAGGGGCATAGCTGGGTCAAGTGGTGGTTCCATTCCCAGATTTCCAAGGAATCTCCATACTGCTTTCCAAATTGGCTGCACCAATTTGCAGTCCCACCAGCAATGTATGAGCGTACCTTTTTCCCCCGCATCCTCACCAGCAATTATTGTTGTTTGACTTCATAATGTCTGCCATTCTTATTGGAGTCAGATGGTATCTTAGAGTAGTTTTAATTTGCATTTCTCTGATTGCTAGAGATGGTGAGCATTTTTTTCATGTATTTGTTGACTGATTGTATATCCTCTTCTGAGAAGTTTCTGTTCAAGTCCTTGGCCCATTTGTTGATTGGGTTATTTGCTTTTTTGTTGTTTAACTTTTTGAGTTCTTTGTGTACTCTAGAGATTAGAGCTTTATCTGATGTATGAGGGGTAAAAATTTGTTCCCAGGATATAGGCTCCCTATTCACCAGATGTGAGGAACTTTTGAGATGGTAGGCTTGTTTCTGAAGGCAGCAATAGCCCATAACCAGCCTCTAGCTTCTATCCCTCAGCCCCCAAAATAAATAGAATGTATTAAATAGAATTTTTTTTTATGCAAGTCAGACAAAGAAGGCACATCAACAACCTTTTACTGATGTAAGAGCATGCTCACAAAAAAATGTTTTTGACCTTGAGTACATACATTGAATCTGAGTGTTTGTGACCTTGGCTACTGGCTAAAAAGTACCCTTCTGGAAAATGTACTAACACACTTGGCCTATTTGGTCTTTTTTTGGCCCTAAATGCCTCATGGTATTGAGCATTTTACAACTTCTACTGCAAGGTGCAATGCTAACCTCTCGATTTTTAGGGTGCAACACAGAATGCTTTTTATCTCTAATTCTTACAGACAAAAAATAATAATCTTGCTCTTTTGACACCTGGGTAAATTACTTTTTTAAATACATCAGTTCTGCTTAACAGGTAATATGGGTTAAACTTGGATACTTGGGCTGGCCATGCCAGTTGTTCCCTGGAGCCACTGGCTACTGTTGTTTCATTTTATGCATCATCCATTGACTGGACTTGAAGGCCTTTGTCCTTCTTCTTCTCTACAGACTCAACATCACAATGGAGAAGGTTGATAGGTATTTTCAAAATACAGAGATCTTACTCTACTGGATATATTTTGGATTCCTAGACCTCTTGATTATCTTGCAGTTCCTCATTCTGCTAGTCTCTCATACACTTGCATCAGTTTTTGCTGTCAGATCTATTGAAACCATTCATCCCATGGCCAGAGCAGCTGCAAATGACTCCTTTGACTACTTCTCCAAATCATCTATGTGACTGCTGCCACTTTTTTCTTTGTCCAAGGGCTGGGGCCTGGGCTTCAACACTTTATTGACACTTCAACTTGCAGGGTTTATGTTTGCCCACAGTGCAGTCAGAAACCTTATTTATGCTTACAAGGAACTAATCCCATTATATCACAACTCTCCATAGGAGTCCACTGTAATAGGACTGAGGCAACTAAGTGTTGTATGCTTCTTGGTGTCTATAGGTGCCACCACTCCTCTAAAAACCTCTACTAATCTATCAGGACTGAGATATCTCTCACATGCAAATATCCTAAAGACTACACCAGTTGCTGTGTGGATGTTGAGACCCAGGATGTAAAATTTGGATCTCTAGCAGTTGAGAGATGTTAGGCAGAGTTGGCAGTGTAGTCATGTTTATGCAAAAAAACAACCAACCAAACAAACAAACAACAACAACAACAACAACAAAAAACAATAGCTCCCAGACAGCCCAGAGCCTTCAACCCTTAGATTCCTACATCATTCCATAGGCCTTTTCATATACAGTCCAGAAAACAAAGGTGAATGATCAATATTTTACATATTGAACATTTTACATGCTCAAAAGAAAATGTTTATGACAATGAGTGCATACACTAAATCAGAGTATTTATTACTTGAATAAATAATAATAATAATAATAAATAATAATAATTATAAGAATTATAATTATAATAATAACCTGTTGGAAGCATCAACAAGAGAGTAGCTATAGCCATGTTTGGCCTTTCCAAGGATCCACCCTTTTAGGATTTCCTCATCAAAATATCTACACACCTGAAGTCTTCTGCAATGATCTATTAGCAAGGAAGTAAGAGCTCTACATCCACAGGCCACAAAAAAATACACTGCATTGTGATATGACTAGAACACAATCCCCCTGCCTAGGATTACTAAAAGCCATCTCCAGATGGTATCCTGACAAGCTCATCATTCTTTCAACTTATAATTGATCAACTGCTGTGTGGCTGCAAATAAAGATTTAATATGTATTGAAGTAATATTGATATTATT